AGGCCAGAACCTGGGTTTGGAGTACCATACTTGAATACTTTTTTGGTACCTGTTCCTTAAAGGAACCATTATGAAATAAAAGTCTCTGCTTTGTCTCCCTGATTACTTCAAAATCCAGAGAAGGGCTTAATCACCTCCTGTATCTACTGACCAAGTTGTTGTCTGGATCCTGCAAAGTTATGATATAACATAGCCTCCTCTTGCTGGCTTAGCCGGTGAGCCCTTGACCCTCAGTGTTGAACCCGAACGCCCTCAATCCAAGACCTCAGAATCCCGAAATCCCACAGCGCTGAACCCTAAAACCTCGAGCCGTGAAGCCCTTTCGGTGTCTATGTTCCTGAACCCTGCGACTGCAATCCCGAAAACCCCTAGCCTAAATTCCCAAACTTTCGCCTCTTGTGAAATCCGCACAAACCCTAAACCCTAAACCGAATGCTCTGTAGGCTAGTATGGGGTAATGTGGTGTGGTGGTGAATCCCCACATGTGCCAAAGCTGGGGCTGCCAAGGCCTCTGCCCGATGGGCATTCCGCTTAACACAGAGTGGCGAGAGGAAAAGGGGCGAGTAAACAACAAAAGAAAACGAATGCTCTTGGTCCTCCCACCCAAGACGCCGCAGCCAGAGAAAGGTTTCCCCTCGTACCAAAACGGGTGGCGCCAGACACATCAGCAGAACTGAACGGGCTCAGCAGCGGCTCGCGACAACATGTACACCTCATGGCTGCAGTCGCACGGTGGAGAAGCAACATCGAGGTTTGTTGCCACATAAACGGCGCAGCACTTCTCCGCGCCTCCTGGCAGTGGCTTTAGGGCTTGGCGTCTAGGGCTGAATAGGGGTTCTAGGATTTGGTTCAATTTTAATTGTCCTTTTGGTTATTGGAGCTTCCGCGTTAGCAACCCCAAGCCGGAAGCCCGATAGCCCCAAAGCCTCAAAGGTGAGTCCCTAGAAGTCCTAAACTCCCGAACCAAATCCATGCTACTTAAAGGGTCATGGGACTTAGTAACTAGGGTTATAATTACGGTAACTATACTTATAACCCCAACAAAGGTACTCATAACCTTACTAAGTCCCATGATCCTCCAAGTAAACCCCAAAATCTTCAGGCCTTCCCTAAACCCTGAACCCTGGAACTCTAAACCCCTAAACCCTACCTTAAGCCGGAATAACCTACCTTTTTAGGGTTCCTTATGATGATTTCCTTTTATAAATCTTAAAAAGGTAGGTTATTCCGGCTTAAGGTAAGACCTAGAGCCGGTACCCTCAAGCCCGCCTTCCCTCGTGCTGCAAATCAGAAGGCCCTGAAGCCCATGATACTTAGTGGTCCAAAACCCAACTTTTCAACTTTTTGGGGCTCTAAAAAGGTAGTCTTGCTGGGAAGTTCGATCTTTTTCTTCCCCCATAGGTATTTGGGAAGTAATCGCCCTTTAGCCCGAGACGCTGAGACTCCCAAGCCTAAAGCCCGGCGACCCCGGACCTTGCTGAAGGATCCAAAAAATTAGTTTGGTAAGGGTTATACCCTATAGTTACAGTAAGCCCCAAAAAGTTGGAAACCGGACTAAAGCCAAATAGTGCTGGGATTCCCACTACATTACTCGTATTCAATGAGGCTGTTGGGTTTCCAACTTTTGGGCTTCTGCTGTAAAGGGTGAAAACCTACTACTATGCAGGGTCTGGCGCTTTTTTGAAGGATCATGGGACTTAGTAATTAACTAGGGTTATAGGTAAGGTACCTATACTTACAACCCCCATTAAGGTACTTATAACCTTACTTACTAAGTCCCAAGATCCTCCAAGTATGGGTAAAGCCTTTGAGCCCCGGAGGTCGTTGTGCCGAGCATGTCGTCGTCTTGGAACCCTTGGAGGAGGCGTCTTCAGGGGCTGGGTTGCTTCTGTTGGCGTCTGCAGGGGCTGGGTTGCTTCCGTTGTGTTTCTGAGGATGGGGGCGATCAGTTTCTGGTGGGGTTTAGCTCGAGGCTGTCCAACACTGCTTACCCTTCATCCAGGTTTCCATCTTTCTGTGGTCCGCTGAGGGCTTTCGAGTTTTGTGGCTTCGGGCTCTAGGGCTTAATTTGACAATTTGCGAACAGAGTCTTGAGGGTTGCGTGGGTTTAGGGTTTGGGGTCTCGGGTTCTAGATACTTGTAGTCTGGCATTGGGGCTTGCTGCTATGATTAGCCTGAGTTTGGAGTACCATACTTGAATACTTTTTTGGTACCTGTTCCTTACAGGAACCATTATGAACTAAAAGTCTATACTTTTTTCTCCCTGGTTACTTCAAAGTCCAGTTAAACATGTGCACAAGAGCCGTAGAGGAAGTTTACTTCCGCGAGGCCCACTAGAACGGGCCTGTTGGGGCCGTTCCCAGGGGTGCTCTAGAATCACAAACCCGAAGACCTGCACCCTTACCCTATAGGACTCGAAGTATACAAATAGTACCTACTTTGGGGTCTAAAGTCTATAAATGCTACCTACTTTGGGCTATTTGGAGTCTTAGGGTTAATGAAACTCTCAACCTCAGATTCTGAGACCCCCAAATCCTAAACCTGTTGCGTCTCGAGTTCTTTTTCGGGGTGTTGCCGAGGCTGAGGATGCGCCGAGCCCTGCAGCCACCAGAGCGCAGTATGCAAAGGCCCTGGAACGGTTTAGGGTTTGCAGGGTTTAGGGTTTGTTCTCCTTCGGATCATTTCTCTGATTTTTATTGTCGCTGTTGGCCCAAGCACTTTGACAACTGCTTTCTTTGACCTGGGTCTCTAGGGTTGAGAGATAGCCTGCTGGGATTTGAGATCAGGGTCTACTAGAATTTGGGGTGTAAGCTTGGGGTACTTGCAGCATCAGCTTGGGGTGGGATTCAGACGTAGACTTCGCGGCGAAGGGTTTTGAGTATTTGGGTTGAAGCTTGAGGGGCCCCCTTAAGCTACCATATAACCGAAAACGGAGCGGGCCGCTCTGCTTTTTTTGTTTTGTTGCTTCGTGCTGTTTGGCTGGTTTAAGGACGGTTGCGAATCATTTCACATCTAGCGCTTCATTTACCTTTGGTTAGTAGGGAATGGAAGAATGGTAGTAACAGTAGTTATAATTGTACCCCATTCCCCCATTCCCTACTAACCAAAGGTAAGTTCAGCATCGCGCAAGTAAACACGCGTTCCGTGCCCTATTCGATGGTCGAAGCCTAGAGTCCTGAACCCCGATATCTCCGAGGAGGCTTCAAGCCATCGCTGGGTTCTCAAGCGATACCCGAATTCCGCTTTTTGAACCTATGAATCCGTAAGGGAACCATGATGAAATACGAGTCTACATTGCTTTTCCCTGGCCCAAGCTCCAGCCGAAAACCCCAAGCCCACGACCCTCAAGCTGAAGAACCCAAGCGCCAACAAGGCAAACCCAAGACCTTGGGTACGGCCCCCACCCGGTAGTAGTTGAATAAATTTTTCGTAATATAGATATATCAGGACCTTAATCGTAGCCCTATTATAGACTCTTACTGTAAGGGGGCAGTACCTAACCAAGACCCCTTAAACCACCCGTCCAAAGCCCGGGTAGAACATAAACCAAAGAACCAAGCACACCGCCCTAAACCTAACCTCAACCCTACGATCAAAAAAAACTCTACGGCTCAGCCACGCGTGCTTGGAAGGAGCCCTCCACACTCCTGGAACAGGCAGCGGCGAGCCAGCTGCGGCTGCTGGCCGTAGAAGTTTACAGCTCTTTCGGGTCTTAAGCACAGAAGTATGTGGATAGGCTGTTTTAAAATTTGCGATGTCCCCTTTCTTGGGCTGAAGTGGATTTTATTTACGAATAGTTTGTTGTCGAAAGCTTTCACTGGCCAACCTAGACAACAACTCTGCAGGAACTCCAGGTGTCCATTTGAGAGATCCGCCGACCTGCTACTGGGTAGTTGTCAAAATTATGGCCCCTTTTTGGGTACCCTAAATAATAGGTGCCGTATTATAATAGGGACCCGGGACCATAATTTTGACAACCACCCTACTACTTCTAGTACATTCCCTAAAGTGTAGGATCCTTATAAGCACCCCTCCGTAAGGCTTGGAGTTCAGAACCCCTATGACTACAGACCCGAAGCCCTAGACCAGAATGTCTTGTAGCAACGCTTATATATAGCAGCCCTTATAGACAAGTCCACGGCAACCGATGTACCCCCTGTATAATTAAATCATTATAAAGTTCTGGCAGCAGCAAACCCTGAAAAACCTCAACCCTAAGCCCTTATCGAACCCTAACGGCCTTACCTTAAGCCTTCCCGTAAACTTCAAGAACCCTATACAGCATGACGCCCAGCTCTAAACCCCTAAGTAACCCTTATCGAACCATCACGGACTCCTTACGGCACTTATCGAGCCGCTACAGAGCGAAGCCTGCAGAACAGATGTGGAACCCGTATAGAACTCCTTATTGTGGAACGCTCACAACGTCGTGAAATCCCTACACTAAACCTTGTAGAAGCCTGTTCCAAAGCCCTTGCGGTAAGCCTCATGGAAGCTTGATAGAACCCGTATAGAGCCCTTGTTTATTTCAATCCCTCGTTTCAAAACCCTATAGGCCCTAGCCCTCAATAGTAAGCCTGAGTAAACTTTATAGTAAGACCCAAAAAGTTGGAAACCGGATTAAGGACAATTAGTGCTGAGATTCCTTATATTTTACTCTCAAGGATTGAGGCTATTGAATTTCCAACTTTTGGGCTTCTGCTGTATTATAGTAATACCAAGCCTTAAACCCTTAATCCTAAACCCTAAACCCTACCTACCTATAGTCTCCATTGTAGTTCCTTTTTGGGGTTACCTTTTAGGATCGTTAATACAAAATTGGTTAAACCAAAAGAAGGAACTACAATGGAGACTATAGGTACCATCAATACTGTTGATGATATAAATCCTGCATTACCTTAAGGGCCCTAAACTATGGGAAGTATAGTATATTCCTTATTATGGGAAATGCAGGATTTCTATCATCAACCGTAGTAAACCTCAAAGCCCCCGTCGCCCAGGCGCCTCGAGCGGCAAGGCTTCGACTCCCCCAGGGCAGCTTTGGGCTTCCAGGCGAGGGGTGTGGGAGGAATCTGGGTCCAAATAGATGCCTTTAAGGGGATCTAGAGGGATTCTATAAGGGTATAGGGTTTAGGGCCTACTTCATGGGTAGTTATAGGTAGGATTATAAGTCCCGTAATATGGGTTATATGTCTGGTTGCCCTACTTATAGCCCCACCCATGGACCTCCAAGCAGACGGTGGGGGGGGGGGGGGGGGGCCGGCTTAAATAGGGTCTATTTGGCAGCTGGATGGCTGTGTTTTTGCATTCAAGTAGTGCTTATTCTCATCACCACAGACCACGCCATGAGACGGGTGACGTAGGCACAGACTCCATGCGTGCATAATTGATCGTTGAAAATGTCTGCGCTCTCGTGGTGCCTAGCTGCGTATTACACTGCGACATACAAGCGGCGGCCACTTGCGGCCAAAGTTCGTGTGAATGTAATGTAATGTTTAACCAATCAGAATGTCCACGACTCCTTGGAATGTAGACAGACGGCTCAAGAAAGGGTGGAGATTCCCCCAACCCTCAACGAAAACACGGAGAAAGTCTCTCCAAGTCATTCAGCTGATTTCTATCAGCGAGCTCCTCTACCTCTTGGTAAGTCTCCATCTCCTCTGACGATAAATGAAGGGAGCTCGCTGCTTCGTCATCCGCAAGAAATGAGCTTCTTTTCCCCAAAAGGGTAAGGAAGAGATCCCTTGGCACATCCTCTACCGCAGCATCTCAAAGGAGCAGAGAACCCTTCCAACGTCACGAGAAAAAAAGAACTCCGGCTGCCTCTCAGTCGACAAGAAGAGAGAGGAGCTCCTTGTCGTCCCCTCTTCCTCCTCAAGGGATAGAAGAGAGATAGCTTTCAAGAAGTGAGGACTGAGCTGTCTCAATCTTCGAAAGAAGAGTCTGATCCTCCCCTTAGCCTTCAATAAGACATGAGCAGCCCTCTACCCCATCCTCTGAATTAGCTTCCAAAAAAATCCTTTGCCTCATCCTCGACAAGAAGAGACTGAAAGCTTCCTCCAAACTAATGGGACAAAAGAAAGCGCCATCTCAACAAAGCAAACAGGCCGCTCCAACTTCACGAGAAAGAAGAGGGCTCCGTTTACCCCTCGGCAAGAATAGACCTCCTTTCTTTCTTGAAAAGGGGAGGACGCTCAAGAAGAAAGGGTGGAGCTCCCCCAATTTTCAAGTAGAGACATCTGGTCATCCCTCAGCATTTAAAAGGAAAAGACCTCATGCTCCAAAACAAGAAGAGAGTTCCCAGGATATTCGTGGCAACAAAAGAGAGCATCCTTCTTACCTCTTGGTATGTCGCCTCTTCGTCTTAAGGAGATTGAAGAGACCTCGCTCCTAGCAAGAAAGGACAGAGCTCCCCTAGCTTCCAAAAAGAAAGATTGTCTACCGCATCCTCCACAAGAAATCACTGAGAGCTTCCTCCCATCATCTCCTCTGACGATAAATGAAGGGAGCTCGCTGCTTCGTCATCCGCAAGAAATGAGCTTCTTTTCCCCAAAAGGGTAAGGAAATCCCTTGGCACATCCTCTACCGCGGAGCAGAGAACCCTTCCAACGTCACGAGAAAAAAATTACTCCGGCTGCCTCTCAGTCGACAAGAAGAGAGAGGAGCTGCTTGTCGTCCCCTCTTCCTCCTCAAGGGATAGAAGAGAGATAGCTTTCAAGAAGTGAGGACTGAGCTTCTCAATCTTCAAAAGAAGAGTCTGATCCTCCCCTTAGCCTTCAATAAGACATGAGCAGCCCTCTATCCCATCCTCTGAATTAGCTTCCAAAAAAATCCTCTGCCTCATCCTCGGCAAGAAGAGACTGAGAGCTTCCTCCAAACTAATGGGACAAAAGAAAGCGCCCTCTCAACAAAGCAAACAGGCCGCTCCAACGTCACGAGAAAGAAGAGGGCTCCGTTTACCCCTCGGCAAGAAGAGACCTCCTTTCTTTCTTGAAAAGGGGAGGACACTCAAGAAGAAAGGGTGGAGCTCCCCCAATTTTCAAGTAGAGACATCTTTTCATCCCTCAACATTTAAAAGGAAAAGACCTCATGCTCCAAAACAAGAAGAGAGTTCCCAGGATATTCGTGGCAACAAAAGAGAGCATCCTTCTTACCTCTTGGTATGTCGCCTTTTCGTCTTAAGGAGATTGAAGAGACTTCGCTCCTAGCAAGAAAGGACAGAGCTCCCCTAGCTTCCAAAAAGAAAGATTGTCTGCCTCATCCTCCACAAGAAATCACTGAGAGCTTCCTCCCATCAGCTCCTCTGACGATAAAATGAAGGGAGCTCGCTGCTTCGTCATCCGCAAGAAATGAGCTTCTTTTCTCCAAAAGGGTAAGGAAGAGATCCCTTGGCACATCCTCTACGGCAGCATCTCAAAGGAGCAGAGAACCCTTCCAACGTCACGAGAAAAAAAGAACTCCGGCTGCCTCTCAGTCGACAAGAAGAGAGAGGAGCACCTTGTCGTCCCCTCTTCCTCCTCAAGGGATAGAAGAGAGATAGCTTTCAAGAAGTGAGGACTGAGCTTCTCAATCTTCAAAAGAAGAGTCTGATCCTCCCTTAGCCTTCAATAAGACATGAGTAGCCCTCTACTCCAAAAACTCATCCTCGACAAGAAGAGATTGAGAGCAATCTAAGGCGGCAGAAGAAAGCGCCATCTCAACAAAGCAAACAGGCCGCTCCAACTTCACGAGAAAGAAGAGGGCTCCGTTTACCCCTCGGCAAGAAGAGACCTCCTTTCTTTCTTGACAAGGGGAGGACGCGCAAGAAGAAAGGGTGGAGCTCCCCCAATTTTCAAGTAGAGACATCTGGTCATCCCTCAGCATTTAAAAGGAAAAGACCTCAAGCCCCAAAACAAGAAGAGAGTCTCCAGGTGATTTGTGGCAACAGAAGAGAGCATCCTTCTAGCAGAGAGCCTTTTTACCTCTTGGTATGTCGCCTTTTAGTCTTAAGAAGATTGAAGAGACCTCGCTCCTAGCAAGAAAGGACAGAGCTCCCCTAGCTTCCAAAAAGAAAGATTTTCTACCTCATCCTCCACAAGAAATCACTGAGAGCTTCCTCCCATGTAATGAGACGCAAGAGAGCTTCATCTCAGCCCAGCAGACAGGCCCCTCCAACTTCACGAGAATTCAAAGGTCTCCGTTTACCCATCGGTCGGAAAGAAGATAACTCCTTTCTCTCTTCATAAGAGGATTGGATCTCTTGAGCATTTCTTTTACCTTTTCAAAAGATGGAAAACAGCATACGCACAGGAAGAAGAAACCTCCTTTCTCTCTGGGCAGTGGAAGGAGATCCTGATTATTTCCCTTACCTTTTCAAAAAATGGAAAAGGGCATACGCTCAAGAAAAAAGGGCGGAGATTCCCCCACCCCTCAACGAAAACACGGAGAGAGTCCCTCCATGTCATTCAGCTGATTTCTAGCAGCGAGCTCCTCTACCTCTTGGTAGGTCTCCATCTCCTCTGAAGAGAATTGAAGGGAGCTCCCTTCTAGTCGAAGAAGACAAGGCTCCACTTATCTCCAGTTTCAAAAAGAACTGCGGCTGCCTCTTAGTCGACAAGAAGAGAGAGGAGCTCCTTGTCGTCCCCTCTTCCTCTTCAAGGGATAGAAGAGGGATAGCTTTCAAGAAGTGAGGACAGAGCTCGCTCAATCTTCAAAAGAAAAGTCTGATCCTCCCCTCACCCTTCAACAAGACATGAGCAGCCCTCTACCCCATGCTCTGAATTAGCTTTCAAAAAGACAAATCCTCTGCCTCATCCTCGACAAGAAGAGACTGAGAGCTTCCTCCAAACTAATGGGACAAAAGAAAGCGCCATCTCAACAAAGCAAACAGGCCGCTCCAATTTCATGCGAAAGAAGAGGGCACCGTTTACCTTTCGGCAAGAAGAGACCTCCTTTCTTTCCTGATATGGGGAGGGGATCCTGATTATTTCCGTCGCCGTTTTAAAAATGGAAGAGAGCATACACTCAAGAAGAAAGGGTGGAGCTCCCCCAAACTCAAGAAGAAAGGGTGGAGCTCCCCCCAATTTTCAAACAGAGACATCTGGTCGTCCCTCAGCCTTCAAAGGGAAATGACCTCATGCTCCAAAACAAGAAGAGAGTCTCCAGGATATTCGTGGCAACAGAAGAGAGCATCCTTCTAGCAGAGAGCCTTTTTACCTCTTGGTATGTCGCCTTTTCGTCTTAAGAAGATTGAAGAGACCTCGCTCCTAGCAACAAAGACAGAGCTCCCATAGCTTCCAAAAAGAAAGATTTTCTACCTCATCCTCCACAAGAAATCACTGAGAGCTTCCTCCTATGCAATGAGGCGTAAGAGAGCTCCATCTCAGTCCAGCAGACAGGCCCCTCCAACTTCACGAGAATTCAAAGGTCTCCGTTTACCCATCGGTCGGAAAGAAGATAACTCCTTTCTCTCTTCATAAGGGGTTGGATCTTGAGCATTTCTTTTACCTTTTCAAAAGATGGAGAACAGCATACGCACAAGAAGAAGAAACCTCCTTTCTCTCTTGGCAGTGGAAAGAGATCCTGATTACTGCCCTTACCTTCTCAAAAGATGGAAAACAGCATACACACAAGAAGAAGAAACCTCCTTTCTCTCTTGGCAGTGGAAAGAGATCCTGTTATTTTCTTGACGCTCAAGAAGAAACGGTAGGGATTCCCCCAACCCTCAACGAAAACACGGAGAGAGTCCCTCCAAGTCATTCGGCTGATTTCTAGCAGCGAGCTCCTCCCTCTCTTGGTAGGTCTCCATCTCCTCTGAAGAGAATCGAAGAGAGCTCGCTTCTAGTCGAAGAAGACAGGGCTCAAAGCATCTCCAGTTTCAAAAAGAACTGCGGCTGCCTCTTAGTCGACAAGAAGAGAGAGGAGCTCCTTGTCGTCCCCTCTTCCTCCTCAAGGGATAGAACAGAGATAGCTCTCAAGAAGTGAGGACAGAGCTCTCTCAATCGACAAAAGAAGAGTCCGATCCTCCCCTCAGCCTTCAATAAGACATGAGCAGCCCTCTTCCCCCCCCTCTG